TTCCCAAGCTTATCAGTAGTAAATATGAGACAGTATTACTGTTTTAATATGCATTTTCTTTTTAATAATGCACTTTTCTTTTTTATGTGTATTTTTCTTATAATGAGAGGCACTCAACAAAAATTTAGGATTTTTTGGCATCTTGTATATTACAGAGGATCAGACCTTATGAAAACATATCTTAACAACTAACTCTAGAGAGGAAAAGTTATTTTTATTTTGGAACTTTTAAAATAATATGCTTTCATGGAGATCCATTTCTATCTTGTGGACTTTTGGATATGTCTATTGAAGATTCTCCTCAACAGCTACTTGTCATAATATAGAATAAAGGCTAGGTACTATTTAGTAAGAGAACCCTATTACCTATCACCTTTTTTACTGTTATTTAGATTCAAAATCCCAGTTAGAGTTATGGGATTTTCTTCTACTCCTTCAACCACCTGATCCAATCACCTCTTAGTAAAGGGGGATCCTGTACTTATGAAGACTCCGTTCATAAATTTCCAGCCTTTCAATGATTTCCTTCTTTTTAAATAAATACTATACAAATCCTATCCTATACAATAACCCAACTTTGTGTCCATCAAGATACCAAGAATGTCCAAGTAAATACACTACAATGCCCCATCCTGTGTAATCTGATAAATTTGGGGAAGTCTGTTCCCCATGGATGGCAGTACTGAAGGTCTGAAATAAGACCAAGGTAATTAGTGATGCTAATTTTCTTATTAAATCAAGGATGATCACAGTGCCAGGTATATTATTGTAAGCCCTTTAGATACATTAACTCACTACCACCTCATGAGAAAAATATTGTTTTTCCCTATTTTACCAGTGAAGATGTTTTGTTTCATTCCCTTGTTCATTCCACAAGGCACACAAGGCTAGATTTCAACAGGCAGAGTGGATGCAGAGCTCAGACACATGCCAACTTTATGCTCTTTTGTTATATTGTCCATTACTATTGTGTCTGAGTGTCTGTATGTACATGTCTGCCAAAGTCAACAAATCTTGCCTTATTTGCAGTTACTTCTTTGATTAGCTATTCAAGCTCCATGTACCACAGAAGGTAGCAACAGACTCCAGGGCAAAAGGCCTGGGCATGTTCTAAACCAGTATCAACCTGCAAATGACAATGGATCGACTTATGATTTTTAACTTAATGACAGTCCAAAAGCAATTCCCACTCGTTAGAAACTGCTCCCAAGTTTTGCACATTGATTTCTTCCCAGGTTAGTGAAATGCAGTACAATACTCTCTTGGGACACTGGGCAGAGGCAATAAGCAGCAACTCCCGGTCAGTCATGTGACCATGGGGTTAAGCCAGCAACACTGCACACTATGTTGTGTTGAGTAGGCTACAGTGCTAAACGCAAATCATGATATTATTGGGACATAACCTCATCATCATAAGTTAAGGAAGCACTCTGTAAGGGTAATAAGGATGCTGATCAGTTACAAAGAGCACTGTACAGTGAGTATAGAAAACCATATCCTCACTTGGGGATTGAGAAGGGAAACTTCATGGGGGAGCTGGTATGTAAGCTAACAGAAAAGGATGAACATGGTTAGCTAGACAGGGAGGGGGTAGAGGGTGTGGGGAGAGCAGTGACAGAGGAAGACACTAACCATGAGAGGTCATGAGAACAGAAAGAGCTCAAACTGAAAGTTTATTTTTTTAGATTTATTTATAGATATATACAGAACTAGGGTACAGGCCAGAGGTGCAGGGGCGGTGAGAGGATTCACCAGAGACAGAACGGGGAGCAGAACAGGCAGATTGATGAGCTACACTGAGGGGAGCAGCAGGCAGGTCAAGAGAGATCTGCCGCGCCATCAGGTGGGGGATCGGACTCACACTGAAGCAGCTGTGGCCAGCTTGCAGTGCTGTGTCCTAACCCATTGAGCCACCAGGGAGGGCCCCCCATGTACTGATATTTTCTTGTAGAAACTTCACTAGCTACCCCAAGCTGATTTGGCTATTGTCCTGTTAGCCAAGATGACCTGACCTGACCACATGTGTTCATTCTTTTCTCACACCAATCACTGCCCAAGTCAGAAAAGACAAGTAGACACAGTTTCATGTAGACACATCTTAGAATTAAAATGACTTCAGGGATGCGTGTAGTAACACTGAAAGAAACACCCAAAAGGCCAAAGGAAGCATGCTTTATTGAAATTACAATGCAGAAAATATTTGTGGTTCCTTAGACATTTGCATTGCTATAAAATTACCCTTTATGGTATAATTATTAATGGTTTGAAGAGAAATAAACAGTATAAACGAAATATGGCCAATACTATGAAAATGTAAACCATATAAATCAAAATCATAAAACAATTATTCAATCCTCAGAGGTCTACTTAATATATACAGATGAAATTTCTTACACACATATACAATAAAAGCCCACAAAAATATCACTCTGAAGCTGATCACTGTACAAATATGAAAATAAATCTTTATCTTTAACCTCAATTTTATCTTCAGCAAGAGGGTTGTACAACTTGGGTTTATGCAAATCACTTTAGCTTTAAATAATCAAATGTCACATATGTCATATAAAGCAGCAAGTGGAAAAAACAAATTGTAAAAATGCATGAGACTAAAAGTTAACAGTGAAAAATGTCCCATCCAACATTCTTTTCCATGATAAAGCTAAAGTATTTTCCACTGTGTCAGAATACATAAAAAGGAGCATAGTATAATTAGGATTTTAAAAGCTCTTGAAGGAAAATTTCACTCAAGATGAGTTACTTGCATAAGGCGATGCACATGTATCAAATGATATACATTAAAGCATTAACTATTTTTGTTCTTTCTGAAAAAATGTTTTAAATTTGAGAATGTCTTCATGAAATAAAATGTTGGCAATAATTATGATTTCTCAGCAATGCAGCTGAAAGAGTTTCAAGTAGCTTTTTTCTAAGCAAGATTGCTAACCAGAGCTCTAAGTCTCTAATTTGGATTTTGTTACCAAAATATTTATTTGGGTTTGGAAAGTTAAAGATGATTGTTTTGTCTATCAATTTTTGGTATCCTAGCCAAAAACTCCAGTGGAAAAGACCAAGGTAATACTTCCCTATGACAGGTAACTTTATATACAGATTGTCAGACAAATGTGGAGACATTTTGGGGCGATAAATAAAGGTAACACAATCACATGTGTACTAACGAAGCTTTGCACAACTGCACCAAACACAGAAGCATGTCTTAAATGATGTCTCCTCACTACCAACACATATTGCAAATCAGGTTCATTCCTAATTTGGGCTCTGCAGATGATACTGAGGCAAAACAGCACTGGCAAAACTTATCTCTTACCATAGCACAACAATAAGGACTCACTCTTGTGTTCAGGGTAACAATTCCCCCACAAATAAGGCACTCTTTGGGGTCCAAAATGTTAACTATTGTTCTGGGACCAAAAAATGTAAAACAGAAACAAGAATCCATGGTCAATTTGCTGAAGATGGACCCAACTTTATAGTAAAAGAAACTGGAAGTCATCTGTAAACCCAAGTGTTCTTCTAAAAGCTACTTGATGCCATGGCTATTTACAATCTGAGTGTGAGGTGTTTCTGGTCAATTTTCATTAAAAAAAAAAAAAAGAAGCTTGGAGAGTTTGAAATTTGATCATAAAAATCATAAAAGGAGAAAAATAGCTACAGGAAATTATTCTAATTCAAGAAAAAGACATTTTTTAGCTTATAGAAAACAATAAATAGTAGCTATTATTTACGTTTTTCCACCAAACTACTTGGAGCTTGGACATAGATGAACTAACGTTCAAAATACCTTGCAAAGAAGAACTGAATTGGTTAAAGCTACTGAAAAGTGAAACCCCCAAACCAGAATTGCTGACCCACCCTGGGGTCAGGTCTTGACTCTTACAGGAAGCTTGGGAGAGACTGCAGGTTCCGGGATAGAAAGACTAAAGAGGTTCTGGGTGACTCACTGGCTCGTAAACAAAGGCGAGTGACTCGCCTTTCCCTAATGCACCTTCTCTTTCAAAGGTTTATTTTTCAAAACCATACATAACATTTCTTTTATTGTTTATTATTTCAGGAAGTAAATAATAACAGGGAATGAAACCTGCATTATATTGGAGATAATTATTTTAAAGCATGGAAAGGGTTGAAATAGTATGCATGTTTTCATTTAGCAAAATGTTAAATCATTCCAAGTTATTACTGCATTTTGAAAATCACACACCTTTAAAATCACCCATAAAATTCATCCTTTAAAAGTATAAATTCAGTAGTTTTTAGTATATTCATAAAGGTGTGCAAACATTATTATTATCTAACTCCAGAACATCCTCATCTGCAAAAGAAACCACATACCTATTAGTAGTCAGTCCCAAGACCTCCCTTTCCCCAGCCCCTCGCAATTACTGGCTGGTGCACTGAAGCAGGGGGTAACTTTCCCGGGTGTTGTAGCTTGAGCAGTATGTGACTTTGTTTCCATTCAAATTTTTAAAAGCAAATTGAAAGCACAGACTTCACAAGTTTTCTGAAATTATAAAATACCTTCTTTAATATACAACTTTTGGTCATAAAAATGTTTTCTTCCTTTAAACGTTAAAAAAAAAATTCCATCTGCCATGGAACCTAAAACATCACCATTTTTCTCAATTAAATTCTGTTCTTGTTTCAGAAGTGAGAAAAACCAATACTCCAATATTAAAAAAGCATGAATAACCAGAGTCCTTATTGACTGTGAGCTGTTGTGCTCTTCCAGCGCTGCAGCATCTGAGAAGATGCTGCTTCACAGGCAGACAGATGTCATGTGGGCTGATGACAGGTCCAGGACAACAAGGCTAGTGAGCAGCAGAGGCAGGACAGTAACCTCCCTTTACTAGCTCTCCAGTACTGAGTATTAAGTGAATGTCACAAATTACCTACAAAGTCAGTTACCGTGTGAATGCAATTATGTCAGAATTTCTTCTATAGCTTTCATCTGAGAATGTGATTCTTTTTACTACTTTAGAGGCATTTCTAAATTATCTTTTAAGACTTTGTAAGGACAAGACAAGTCTACTTAACTAGAGATCCTAATTGATACACTGAAACATAACAAAGAATTGCCGAGGTTCAGCAGGGTCCCCAGAGCACAGTTCAGGTTTCCCACCTGCAACTCTCCATATAACAGTGCCTGCAAGATGTGCAATGCCATGTGAGAAGCAAAGAAGTCGGACAAATTCAGTGCTCTGGAAATGCAGGCTTCAAAGGCCACGGGTCTTTGGGGTCTAACCATTGCAACAGTTCTTCATCTGGGTCGACTTTTTGGAACTGCTCAGATTGGTAATGGATTTGCTATCATCCTCATCAGTCCTTTTCTTCACTTCCCTGGAGAGAGAAAGAAAGGGATAAACTACAGCACTCTGGATGGGAAAGATGACCTCTCACAGGGAGAAAGTGAAATTTAGGATTGCTGAAGGTCAGTTAGTAATGGTTCTGTTACATGTTGCCACAGTTTCTTATTTAATACACACACATACACATATACACATACACACATGACAGGTGACGGGGGAGCATTATTCATTCACACACGAGGAAATACTTGGGAAATGGAGGATACATAATTCAATGTACAACAGTCTTTCGATCATTTCAAACTTCTGACCTCTCTAGGATAAAACACGTTCACTGCTTTAAACCACCACCGGTGTGGAAATTCATTACATCAACAACAGAAAATTGATACAACCTCCAAATGCAAAATCTCAGCTATTTGGTTATTCGGCAAATGCCCAACTTATGCCAACTTCTGGGATCCTGCATCAGCTGATGTGGAAGGAGAGACAAATGTCTAAATATATCATTACAGGGGTCCCAAGAAAGCGACTCACATACATGCACACACACACAGAACACTGCAGGCAGACTAGTACATGGATGTGCTACAGGGCAGGGAAGGAAGTCTTCCTGGGCGTGGCTCAGTTCATGAGGAAAGGAGAGTCCAGACGCAGGGAACAGTCCACAGAAAGGCAGAGATGCATAAAAGAGCCTGGCCACAACTAGAGTAAAGCTGTCTGTGTCTACAGACCTTCATTCATTTGGGGAAAGGCTGCGGTTCGGTGGTGACAGGTTTCCTATCACTACTAGAGGGAAACCGCATCCAAGGGAGACACCTTTTCTGAGATTGAGAGATTTTCAGAGGAGGTACAGGGTCATCAGGCTGTTAGGACTCCCTTCAAAAACAAGTCGTGTTTCAGACAGTGCAAGTTCATAAAGTCTTCTAGTTCAAGTGTTACGACATGACAAGGTGTGAAAGGATCGCGCTGGGAATCATTTTATGAGATATAAATGGAGAAACTACATGGTTTACTCTGTATGTCACTTTCTAAAGGTGGAACTAGACCATTTCCACTTTAGATAAATACCTCAAAAGGCAGAGTCAAAAGCAAATGAAAGTCTTTTACATATGTGCTTCATTTGCAGCTTCCATATTTATCACATCTTTAACATAACTAAACTGAGGCCCAAACCAACCCATAATGCAGTAACATTAAAAAAAAAACTCCTTGATCAGTAATTCACAAGGAGTTTGGCTGCTTAGTGTGATATTCTGAACTATCGAAAATTAACGGTGATGTTAGCTGAAGTAACTGTGTGCAGCTGAAGTGACCTCCTTATTAAAACACCTTTGCACACAGGTGTTTTAAGCAAACAAACAGAAGCCTGGGCCAGTGCCTGGCTAACCCCCATGGGAGCAGAAAAACAGGGGGAGAAAGGCATAGGAGGCATAAGCTCCCGCCCATCTTACTGATATAATAAAAAAGAATCGATGCTGCCCTCAGGCTGTGATTGCAGTAATTTGGATTCATTTATCCCTAGTATTAGCCCCTCAGTCACTTCAGAATTCCCTAGTGATTATGTTATTCAGATGTGTTCAGGTTTTTATACGCAGAATCACAGACTGTCAGAACAAGGAAGGCCCTTGGAGATCTTGTTCTTCAGCCCCTCCCTGATCTTATGGATTAGACACACTCAAAGGGAGACAAGGACTTGGTCAAGATGCCACAGCTATTCAGAGGATGATTTAAGGATGGACTTTGAGCCTCCTGACACCACAACCCTCCAAGAAGCTGCGCAGCAGCCAACAGCCACACAGGGCTGACCTGCACCATCCTTCCCGCTCCCTGACAGAGCAGACTCAGCGGCCACTATCAGAGGTGTTGGTGGCCTCCGCTCCTGCCCAGTCGTGGGCCCAGTGTGCTCAAGACCTCATTTCCACCCCGGAATCCGCAGGGACATTTTAGTGAAACAGCAACATAACCATCTGCACCAGTAAAAACACCTACCAACTCAGCAATTATTCCACCTTTAGCAAAGATGAACACCTTTCATTCAATTAATTAATTACTTTCATTAAATCTCCACCCCTTTATTAAATGCACTTTTGCTGGTGTTCCCTCTGCACCCCCAGGTGCATGGAATCCAACCCATGTCCAGTCTCTGGAAGTTTGACCTGGGCTCTTGTTTAATAAATGTGATATTAGCCATGGTTTGCCTACTAGTTATGGGCAAAAACAAAAACCATGTAATTCACTTGAATCTCTACACACTTAAATGTCTAGACAGTTTCCGCTGCCTGTTCCAGGGCATACTCAGTTAACATCATTTTGGCTTTAAACAAAGATGCTTTCCAATGTGATGAGTGGGAGGTGGCTCTGTTTTCTTACAATGATAGTAAAGGAGAAATTATTCAAGACTCTTGAGTTCAAGTGGAAGGCGCCTGCCAAGCCCAGCCACAGACTGAGACCATAGAGCCACCTAAAGTTCAGAGGTCTGTTCCTAACACTTTCAAGTGGGGCCAATGTCTCCCTCAGGTCCCAGACCAATTAATTAACATATTCTATTCTAATCTCAATTAGCAATAAGTCATTAATACAAAAGCATCATTTAAACCACTGCAAAGTTTCTTAATTGTCATTGTATTATTAGCAGAATAGGACATCACACCAAGAGTTAAAACACTTAGAAAATCTCACAAATGACCAGGAAATGAACTACAAATCTAAAATTATGTTTTTGCTTTATCAGCAAGTAAAGGTCATTAAGCCTAGATTTTGTTCATACACTTTACTTTTTAAGGCTATTCAATCCCTTTATACAAATAATTATCTTTTTATTCATGGCAAAAAACTAGGCAGGAGAGATCCATCTAACAGATAATGCTTTATTGCCTAAGAATACTGCAAGGATTAAGGCACTCAAATTTATATCCAAGTTCTTCAGTGATGCAATATTCGTTCTAATCTACATCCCCAAATGTTATTTCTTATTAACACTATTGTCTGAGTTAAATAACTACCTCGGCTATAATTTTAACATAGTGCTTCCAACTGACATGATACACAATTTACTTTGTTGAGTTTATTTTCCCCATTACCCAGGAAAATAACACAATAGGTAATTATATTCAGAATAGTCTCTTGTGTTTAAAATCTTGTTCCTGGGAATAATTCATACAAGTCAACTATCAGCTTTGTAGTGACATTTTGCAGAAATGTCAATGACACCGCAGATGCACCGACTTTGTTTGGCAATAAAGGTATCTGCCAATGTTCACAGTGAATAAGCAGCATCACCCATTTTTATAAAATCCATGTTTAATTATTTGCCAACCACTACTGAAAGACAAGACAGTGTTTTTCAATGTAGATCCATGTATAGTAAAAAATTTGCAATATGTATCACCTCAGTGAAAATACGGTTCTACATCTAATTTCCCAAATATAAGACAAAATTTTACCGAGCCAGATGGAGAACAGCTTCCACTATATTTGAGCCGTCCTTGGCGCTTGTTTCACAGAATAATGCCCCATAGGTCTGTGGGAAAGAAATAGACATAAGTAAATGATGTCTTAAGTTTCCTGGAATTTTAGACTTTAAAATCAAAAAAATAAAATGATTTCCTGCTGAGTTGAGAATGATGAGTCACTAAGGACTAAGAAACTGGATTCAGAATTGGAATATTGAAAAAAAAAAAAAAAAGTGTGAGATTAGCTGCTCCAGGAACATTTCCTGGTGAGGAACTGCATTAAAAAAATACCTAATATAAAACTGTACATTATAAGATTCTTAATTCCAACAGTCACACATAGGCCATCAGACATTCTCTATCATGTCATTTGAGAGAGATAAAAATGGTAACTAAAGGGAATTACTCAGTGACTGAATGTCTCTCAAAATTATGCTCCTTTGGCCAACAGCTGACACATACATCCATCCCCTGGTAAGATTCACAGCCTCTCCTGGTAAGATTCACAGCCTCCATGTTCTAAAATCTACAGCCATTTCCTACTCCTCCAAGGAAGTGCGTGTTGTCATTGATCATATCACTTTCCTGCTTCAAACCTTTCAATACTTTCGATTCCTCTACAAGTCCTGTTCAAATGCTCTGTGACCCCATTCACCTCCCAGCTTTACCTCCCCCATTCTCCCTCATATACAACACTCCAGTTACCCTGACTGTCTCTCCACTTCTCCAGAGCTCCAAATGCCTCATCTCAGTGCCTCTGCCCCTACTCCCCCATCACCTTCCTTCACCAGGATGACATCCACCTGCTTTGCTGGCAGGTGATCCCCCTTTGAAGTTAAGTGTGTGATAACCTTGAAAACTTGATATTAGATCTTCTTACTATACAACCTTAGAGCCTTCTGTAATTTTCCCACCTAGCATTTGTTGTAAATATAACTGATGAAGTTATTTTTGTTTGCTTGCATCTAACCAGTGGGAGGTCATTTCCCTTGGGCAAGGGGATCCATGAGTGCTGTGGGCCTGTCTGTAGCACACCCAGACCTGTGTGAGACAAGGGGAGGAGGCTTCTTCTGGAGAAGAAGCAAGCAATGGGGAGAATAGATGGACCTTTCCTATGAGCCCCCAAGGCCAGAGGAAACCTATAAAAGTCACAAGACAAGAACCAGTTCATTACAACTACTTATATTCATGAAGGGGGTGGGAGAGCCTGGAGTCTGTAACAAAAATCCCATCAGACAGGATGGAGGATAGTCAAAGAACTTAGAAAGCAAAAGGCAAAAGTAAAAGACCTCTTCCAATTTGGCCATTCACACTCACCATGGCCAGTTTTTCCCCAAAGTGTCCTGAAACACATTTTTGTCCCTCTGCTGCAGTAGAGTCACGAAGATCCGCTTTGTTTCCAACCAGCATGATAGGAATACGCTTGTGAGTTGCATCCTACCAGGAAGAAAAAAAAAATTGCACTGTATCAAGCATTGGACAAGTCAGGATGTCAATGACAAAAGTTGTGAAGACGTTAGAAAAAGAACATTCTAGTTTTTTTGTTTGTTTGTTTGTTTTAAAGAAGGTGAGAACCAGACCCAACAGAAGAACCTAGAGGCTGAGATCTGACAGCAAATCACTCCTGTTCAGCCACTGTTGCTTTGAGTGCCTGTTAAAAATTACAGGTGTTAGACTTCCATGAAAAAGTATATATTAGCCAAGTGTTGTTTTTCTTTCCAAGAAAGTGTGCTGAACCATAGCTCCAACTTCAATTTTATGTTGACTAGTAACAGCTGGAGGCACACTTTGATCAAACTCATTTCCTACTTTGAAAACTTATTTGCCAAGAAAGCAGGGATATGAATGAAAGTTCCTCTCAAGAAAGACACATATCATCTCAGTTGACCAAAAGACAACAAAGGTGTTATCATACATTTTTGAAATACCAGGGGTATTTCAGCAGCATAATCAGTATAAAGAGTGAGGTCACTATGAGAATAATACTAAGAACACAGTTGCAATAGAACTTTGTTCCAAGCTTTGGGCTTTGGGATAAAAAAAAAAACAAACAAACAAAAAAAAAAACACAACTTTGGGCTTTAAAAAGGTGTATTGCCAGCTGTTGCCTTCAAGCACACATGGAAGGCACGTTGCATTTCCAATCATGCCATCCATCCAGCTGCCCTACCTTCTAGGCAACAGCAGCTGCTTCTCAGGGTACCTGCATGTTCACATGCTTCAAATGGGGGTTCTGCTTTAATCTTTAGGAAGGCCCAGAAACTTTGTTTCCAGAAATTCCAGTTTTGTATTGTCCTTTGCTGTGTAAGAACTTGTCAATAATTTGAGGAAAAGACCACTACCATTGGAAATTCAAACACCCAGTTCTTCCTGAAGTTCAGAGGAATCTGGTACAGAGTGAAGAACCAGCATCTTCAAGATGGCCTGCTACTCCTCCATATAATTTTGTTTTTTTCAATTTGACTTCTTACCTCAATCATATCAACCCATTCTCGCACATTAAGAAAGCTTTTCTCACAAGTAACATCATACAGCAGCAAAACACCATCTGCTCTTCTAAAGTAAGACTTGGCAATACTTCTGAATCTGGAAAAGAGAAAAGTATGTAAGCAATGGTTCTAATCAATCACTGGTTCTGCTTTACCCTTCATCTATTTCTTCTAAAACAAGCTCCAGTTGAAAAGAATTGTATGACATCTTATTACTATGAAATAGACCTCATCCTGGCCTAGATACACCTAGAAAAAAGGTAAAAATTTGTACTACTAATTAGAAATGCAAACCATATTCTCTACCAAGTAATCCCAAGAATGTTTGCAAACTGCAAGGTATAACCAGGATGAAGTTGAGAACTTATTTTCTAAATATGTCATTACCAGCCACAAGCTGATGAACCACAAGCCACAGAACCACATGTGGTACACAGAGAAGAATGGAAGATGATGTTCATTAGAGAAAAATTGGCAGAGGGGGGAGGATTGTGGGTGAGTGGAATGAGAACTTACAATGTGGAACGGCACAACGTGCCACACCTTTACATACATGGGGCCATGGGCGCCCCCTCGGGAGAGGACATACGCCAACACGGATGTTCCAACTCTAAGCCAAGTGCCATACTTTACTGTGTCTTAAATAGACCATATCAGCCCCAATATCTTTAAAAATGTTAAATTCCCAGTCTGTTGAGTATATGAATTTCGCAGGGTCAGGTACTTGTGTTGAGCCCTAGCCCTTGACCGGTGTTCGGTACAGAGACAGGCAGGCATCTGCACCTATTCGCTCAATAATTTGATAAATCCTGTTCTCAAAGAGCAGACGAGATTAAGTTCTATGCTTAGTGCTTTGGTCATCAACAATGCAAGCACAACACGGGAGGTTCTGTCACCAGATGCCAGTCTGCTATTTAGTTTGTGCCTCTGTCCCTGAACCGAAAGGAGCATCTGTCTTTTATTGTTTCACAACCACACAGCTCCTCACACCACATTCAGGAGTAGCCTCACCTCGATCCTCTTGTTAGGAAAAGACACTCTTTTTCCCAACTAACCATCAGCTGAAAGGTCTTCTTTTCACATAACCGATGCACATAGGAAGGAGAGTAAAGTAAGCACTGCTGAATTCTATTACACCCTATAGCCACAGAGCACATACTACTTGGATAATAACAAGCACCCAGACACCATGGGTCTACAAGGCCTGTCCGCACAGACACTGGCAGAGCCTGATGCCGGAGGAAGCACTTGCCTCTCCTGACCCGCCGTGTCCCAGAGCTGCAGCATTGTTTGCTCTCCATCGACAATAAGAGTTTTCATTTGAAAATCAACTCCTGGGAAGGAAAAGAACATGGAGGACATGATGTAAATAATCCTGCTGCTTTTACTTCCAGGCCCTCTGTAGATCAGACAGAACCAAACACTCAAAGCACAGCGAGGTTCAGAGGCAGGAGCATGGTCTTCAAGGAGAGCGACCTTCAGACATGCCGCACCCCCAGACTAAGGAACCAGGCACTCTTTTTATTAATCAAATTGTAATGAACTTTCAGCTGTGTTATCTCGAAGGGTATAATGGAGAAGCACACATTTGCAAAAGATGCCATTTTGCCATTGAGAAAAGGGTAATCAATCTGTTCTAACATTTCAGGTTATCAAAAAAGAACTCTTTAAATGAAGAAAAATAAATGATAATTTGCATGTCTTCAACTCCTTTCACTGATTATTATGCAAATTTGGGAAATCAGGACAATACTTATTCCTTGCTCTGAGAGGTATTAATCCTGTGCTTCTGTGGAGGAAGGAGCGACCATACATTAGGCTATGATTATGTCCATAATGGCAAACTGGTCATCAATAATGTCTCTTTATCACCATCACATGATACCTACCTATCACAAGGGCTTTCTCTCATTTTAAAAATTTTTCATTCATTTTCCTATTAAAAAATTGAGAAATATAAGTTCCCCCACAGCTGAGATTTGGGTGATTCAGCTTATTAGTATCTGGCTCTAGTGGGACTCAGACACGTCTGGTGCCTAAATGAATCATTACCTTCGACTCTGAAGTTGGTTTGGTTGATCTGACTGAACAGAACCCCCTGTCCTGGGCCAGTCCTCCTGTCGTAAAGTTGACCAAAACAGAAGAGTACCATTCTAAAACAGGGCACACACAGAGAGACAGACAGAGGTGCATCTGTGTGCATAATGCCTAAAGAACTTAAGAACAAGCTAAAAAAGGTCATTTTGCTTTACCGACTACAAAGGGATCCATACCTAGTGTGGCACTTGTATTCCCTCGGAATTCATTCTTGCAAAGTCTCATGAGAAAACTAGACTTCCCCACTGCAGCATCACCAGCCAGTACAATCTTGTAAGCCTTCTGTGAGCCAGAAGATTTCTGGTTGTCATCTACTATGTCTGTCTGGGGGGGGGGGGGGGGGGGAGTCACAGTGAATGACAAAGGTAGTGCCAGGGTTTTAGGGTTTTTTTTTTTCCCCTAATAAATAGTGTGGCAGAAAATTAGTCGTAGTGAATAAACAAGAAACCACCTACCTGTGGTGAAAGTGCCGAGATGGGCTTTCTAAACGAACTAACGATACTGCCTTCACTAACGGACCCCTGGGGTTTCCAGTCTAAGATGGAAGCCACACCATCTGAATCATATGTTTCCTCATCTCTAATATCAGGTACCTGTTGTTTAGTGAAAGAAAAAAAAAAGTCATTAAAAAAAAATTAAGGGTCCTCCCTGGTGGCGCAGTGGGTTAAAGCACAGCACTAAGAAGCTAAAGCCACTTCAGCATGAGTTCAAACCCCACCTGCCCCAGAGGTGACCACATGGTGTGGCAGACCTCTCCTGACCCGCCCACTGCTCCCCTCAGCAGTGTACTTCGTTGATCTGCCTGTTCTGCTCCCCTCTCTGTCTCTGGTGAATCCTCTCACCACCCCTGCACCTCTGGCCTGTACCCAAGTTCTGTATGCATAAATAAATAAATCTTTAAAAAAAATTAAAGCTAGATTCATTATATTATACATCTATAGCATGGATTAAATGAGAAGAAAAATCTGAATTTCAATCTACCGTTGAAGCTCTTATGGCATGGAGGAGCCTCAAGATGACCTGTGAGAACTTCTCCCTAACTTGGTGGGAAAAAAAGATATTCTGCTGATTATGCTTCATATTGTGACCTTTCAGATGGAGTCCCAATGCAGACACAGTCAGTGAAGTTGACAGAATTTCCATCAGAGATAAGACCTAGGACAGCAGTGATTTCTGAGGCTTACATCTGTATCTGAAGCGTCACCCCCAAAGTTGTCCTGTGTGCCTGGTGACCTCTGAAATCCCCGCTGGTGCTTGTATTCCACCTCGGAATCATACTCGTTAGAATCTCTCAGGGTAGACAAGCCACTGTCGAAGCAGCTCTCGGGCAGGCTGTCAACTTCATAATTCATCCTCTGCATAGGATCACAGAGGGCCAACGAGTCACAGTCCTCATCCACGTAGGAAGAGCGGGATGACCTGGGGCAAAGGAGAAGTCTGCTTTACCTGAGGCCGCACAATGCGAGGACCACATGGGCAACAGTTGGACAGCAGAAGGACCCTGAACCTACATTCTCACATTTGCCAAATGCCACACTGTAATTTCCATGATTAAGATTAGCGATAGCATGTTCAAAGCATAATCAGTTAATTTTCTGCAACAATTCACTAAAATAAAGACACTCAAGTATTTAATAAGTGAAGTTTTTTTTTGAAAGAAATCATTTTTACTCCCTGATACAGGAAGAATTATAATGCCCAAGAGGTAAATACCATTTCAAATTTCCTTCGTAAAAATGTACATAGAACAGTGAACCTTTTTACTCTAATGTGATCAGACCAGTGAACCTTTTTACTCTAATGTGATCAGACCACATCCTGAACAGCACGTCCACTTCTGGATAGCATCTCTAGTTCAAAGGAATACCAAGACCCCAGAAGAGAAAGATGACCATGATGACATGAGACTCAAAACCCTCAGATATGAGAAGCTGAGTGTATGTAGCCGACATCTCAATGGTTTCTCTCTTCAAAAATCTCCAAACTGACTCAAGAATACATCTGTCACTTTTCACAAGACAAAATAAGGACTACAGTAAACTTTTCTGGAAATTCTGTTTTAAAGCAATATGGTGAAAAAATAATGTGCATTTAAATATGTTGTTCAATTATGAAGTCCTTATCCCAGGGAAGGAATAGCTTACAAACAGCAGTCTAGCAAGGAAGGTAGGTGTGTGTGTGTGTGTGTGTGTGTGTGCACGCATTATCTGTTGTCATTTCATCATTTAGGAAACTGTCCTTCAAAAACTGATTCTAGCTCAATCCATAATAAATCCATTTTCTTGCATTATAATATATATATATAAACTATTCCAGTTGGTTGTTATTGCCAGTCAAAGGTGTTTGCTTTTAATCTACTTGTATTTTTGATAAAAAGTGAAAGAGAGGCCTTTCTGGTGGCACAGGGGTTAAAGTCTCAATGCTATCAGACTATCACCAGCCAAAACAGCATGAGTTCAATCCCTGACCAGGAAGCTAACCCACAAAGGACAAAGCAGACCTTTCTTATCTCACCTGCTGTTCCCTTCCGCAGTGTATTCAATAGGTCCATCTGTTTTGCTCCCACTCTGCTCTGTCTCTGGTGAACTATCTCACCCCTCACACCTCTGGCCTACACACCAGTTCTTGCATACATAAATAAAAATTAGAATTAATCTTTAAAAAAGAGTGAAAGAGAAATAAAATCCTGAATAGAGAATCCCCTTCATGATTGCTTAGATTCTAAATTTAAGATACATATACAGAGCAGACTTTTTCAAATTCACCTTATACACACACATACGCACACACAATCTATATATGGTGTATATCTCTGTGTGTGTGTGTATACCCTTATAAAGTAAATTATTCTTATCTGCCTGAAGAATATTTTCGTTCCAATAATATATGTGAAAATATAAGACAAGTTATGTTTTTGCTAGAGTTCTTAGAAAGAAAACAAAATTAAAACATATACAAGTTAAAATCAGTCTATATAAGCAATAAAATTAAATTTATAAAGTGCTTTTAACTTTTTATGTTCTTATCAAAAAGAAAATTAAATGTTAACCTTTTATATCAAATTCATGACCCTCCCCCAGAAAAAAAGCATTGGTCTAGACTGCGGTAGTCCATCAGTTAGTGATGGTTCATTGTTTTATTACTCTGAGGAGTTGGAATATGATGACTTTGTCCCTTAGAAACTACTGTCAAGAAGCACTGAATGAGTAATTATGAGTCTTATTCATAAAGTGCACTCTTTACAAAATTGAATCATGGTGAAACTTCTGAAATAGTTTTCATTTATGTGGCTTTTCCCCTGTGTTTAAAATAGATTTTATATGTTTAAAAAAAAAACTGGATGACACCCACACATTTTTTAGTGTGTGTATTTCTCAATAAAACAGAGGGCAGCTGCCTGTAAGCCAATAAACCACCAAAATAAATACTTTATAAATCAGTGAACAATAAAAACATCTCATACCTGGATACAATTTTCTTATAAGTGTTCACCAACTAACTTAGCAACATATCTTTCTGACCATTTTGCGTTAACGCCAGGATATAAAGTTCATTATTTTTTTATAATGAAAAGGAATGAAGGTCTATCAGAAAGATGCATCAGAAGTGGAGAGCTGGAAAGCTGTACTTTATGCGTTCACTGCTTATTTCAATCTTTGACATATGGCACAATTAATTTTTTAAGTAGGAACACTGGACCTATTTATCAATAAACATAAGTAATCTTTGAATTTTTATTGCTAGATGCCAAGTTGCAACAGGGCCAATAGTTCCACAACTTTGATTTAAAATAGACCTTAATTCAGATGGTTTCACTTTCTCTGTATTCACTTGGAATACAGAGAAACCAAACAAAGGGGCCAGAAAAGACAAAACTTGCAGCTGACCACAGATCTAAGGCATCCAGCAGGTGCTGGGGGGTGCAGGGGGGATTCAAAACAGGGAGGGATGAGTACAAGGGACTGGGGTGATGGATCATGGGTGCTGTCATGGTGGTGGAAGAGTTACGCAGCTCACCTACAAGGAGAAATCAAATACTGTCTAAAAATGAACAGCAACGTTAAGAAAATAGGTGAACAAATTTAATTGAAAAAACAGTGTTAATTCTCACTTCTGATCAGCTTCTACAGTTCCTTCCATCCAGAAACTCACATCATGCACTACCCAGATCTCTATTCATTTTGAAAGTTTCCTTCTATTAGAGGATTGAGGAGGGAAGATGACAGGACGTTGGCACTGAGCCCAGGGGAGAAACTGGGAAGTCTGTGTACAGGCGGTGTATACTCCCCAAATTACATAGTTGTGTAAAATACTGGCAAACTAATAAAAGTTGAGGGTAAAAAAGGAAAGTTTCCTTTCCCTTGAACAAAGTTCATATAAGAGTATGCTGAAGTATTAAATATTTACAGATTATGCCAGTCTCCATGTCAGATACCTGACATTCTGCAAGATCATTTACTGTGGTCACCAGTTCCCTGAAACATCTTACTGAGTTCACGTCTAAGAAACAAGACATGATTAGGGATGAGGTAAAGGTGAGATTCAGAAAGCCAATTCAATAACATCTTAAGGAAATCCATTTGCCCTCTCTGAAATATTTTCAATTTAATCTTTACAAGCCTCATGTTTCATAAATTTAAAACAAGATAGGAGAAAATAGAAATTAGTGACCAACATAAATAATTCAACACTAAGAAAATTTACTTTCCTTTCAACTTTGATCCAGAATACAAACAAAAAGCAGCTGTTAACATACCTGTCATAGCCCAGATGGTGAGGAGAATGACCATTAAATTTGGGGCTGCTCCTAGAAATTGTATTCCCTGGTGATATATTATTTATGCGCTGTAATGCAAAGGTAATATCATGTTATTTCATATAAGCATTTGATTTATATATGTACTATACAGAAAACATCAGATATGTGATAGATGATGACGATTAAGATAGATGTTATTGTAGCACACTAGTTAAAACTTTGATATCTTACATGAGCAAATATGAGCATGAAAATCAAGAAAAATCCACAGCAACACAACTTTCCATGGCACTCTGTTCTCATCATATCTTAAGCCCAAACCCTATGGCAGAAGCTGTAAAGGGGCATCCTCATTCCCCAGATTTGCCATGACCTTGCAATACCAATGTTGTTAGATTAATCTCTTCTTGAACCACAAATTGACTTAGTGATGAGTTCATGGTTTTACCTATACCCAAAGCTATAGCACCAAAACTCCACATAAGAAGTTGACCCCCAAAAGTGGGAGAAGAGGCTTTCTCCCCTATGTCTTCAAATAATTTTCAATGAGCCTAGCTTGTTTCTATTGAAGGACTGAAAATCCAAGCCTCCACGCTCATAATCTCACTACAATAAAGAACACTTGATGTGCCTACAACACTCCTATTCAGAGACACCTCTCCCTCGTCTCAGCTGGGCAATACTGCATTTGTGACATGTCCCTCTTTCTTATTATTCCAATCTGTACATGTCTGAACTCCCTATTGCAATATAAACTCTTACAAGACACATGTCACATCTACACATCTTTCTCCAGCTTTTTAGAACATGAAACAAAAGAGTTGGCTAACATTTAGGTGTCCGTTCCTGCACAGAAGTGCATATTTTTCAATTTGGGAAAATACTGTCTCCTTTTAGCAGAAAGAACAGCTTCTCACTATTGCAGAGATCTACATAAAGCCCTCTTCCAAAAAGTGATACACAAGATCTTCTGTACCACAAAAAAAGAGCAAAAGTAACAAATTTATACTGCATACCAATGATCTGTTGAACTTGCTGTAAGTGTTTTCCAGGGCGCTCCTGAGGCCATCATTGCTGTCATGCAGTTTCCGGTTAGCTGTTCTATGGAAAAAAAAAAAAAATCAAAGAAATAAGCAGATAAAGAAGAAATTTGTGGGGGTAAATGCACTACTTTCTTTTCAAGCTGTGTGATTCAGAGCATAGATTTACCACTTCTTGCAACTTTCTACCATTTCCCATTTAACCTCATAAAACTGAGATAATAATTCATTAAGGGAAGTGATGTAACTGATGTATCACCTCTCTCTAAAGATCTCAAGGCATTTAAGAGGGAATGAACTACACAGGGGAACCCCCTCCTCCCTCAGGTAGCCCCTTTGTTTGCATGAACATCTCTGCTCCCAAAATGCCTGAACCCAACCAGCCCCTAAGCTGTTCTCTGACCTGGCAGCCAAGCTGGATGTGGCATGTTACAATCACACTTCTTCCTCCTGGCTGCCCCTACAGCTGCATCCTTCATGAGTCGGTGCTGTTCCAACCAATGTCATGCATCAGTTACGGGCTATGATGCCGACACTGGTTTTAGGCACTTACTTTTTGTCCTACAAAAGTGACTCTAATCTGGCAGAGCCATAGCAATCTTCTCTATAAAATCAGTACAACAAGACTCTGCTTTATAGGATGATCAATCTTCCCCTAATTAAGTTTTATTCATCCTTCAAATCTCAGGTCAATGCTGCCTCCTCCAGGAAGGCTTCTTAGATATTCCCAGCTAGAAAGAATCTTTTATTATATACCTTTAGCAGACACCTTTCTTTTCTTTGTCTCATTTCACTCATTTGGCATTTTACATAATTTCCATAATTTTTTATCAGTTTTCCATCTGCTCCTAGACTAACCCCATAAGGAAGGAACATTTCCCTCCTACTTGCCACTCTACCCTCAGAGCCTGTAACATCTGACCCACATAAGGTGTTGAGTGAGAACTGCTGACTGAACAAATAAATGAACGAACACATTATTGTAGTACATCGTATCTATAAAAAACGGTAAAACATAACACGTATTTAAGAATGATGAAAATCAATTTGTCAAGCCTGACTGTAAATCATATGGGGGAACTGAACCCTGAAGAAAACACTGTATGAGAAAGGAGAGAAAGGCATGCAGTGGGGATGGTTTTGTGGGGAAGATCCTCAGAGGATGGAGTTACTGCAACTTAGTCGTTAGATTAAGAGAGCAGGTACGACATTTCGTATAGGGTAAGAAGCAAACAGACAAAAAGATAATGTGCCTCTAATAAGCAAGTGAATCAAGGAAGAAGGACTGTAACAGCGGAGGTCCTGAGGCTGACACCCCATAGTGTATTCAGCTGGGGGAAAGCGCCAAGTTCAGGGTGCCTTCTTCACAGAGGTACAGTGAAGCCACGCGGACACATAGCCTGGCTGGCACGGGCATTCAGAGAATTAAACTCTATTACTTGGATTTGAATCGTTTATTTAGGATTAAAAGCATCAGAAAATTGAGTGCATGTGCTGAATGGCACCAGGGTGAGAAGAAGTATGTGCGGCCCCAAGAACCCAGGTTTCTTAACTAGCAACTTGTGTTGTAGGTGCCACTTGTTTTACTAACAAGAAAATAAGTAAAATGCAAAATGTGATGAGCATTTTCTATGAGAACTTACTGGAGTATTTCAATTTGCCTCTCAAGACTATTTCGATCTTCCGTGTACTCTCGGATTATTTGCAGATCCCTGTAAAATTATATTTTATGTTTGAATGAGAATTAGGTGTTTGGCTGCTCCTTCTTCTGTAGTTACCCTCCCAGGTCACTTTTCACCTGTTTCAAAGATGCACATCCTGGGCCGTGGTTTTCTGTCTTTCTGTGCTTTTGCTGGGTTTTTCTGTGTGTCACCAATGATCTCTCCTCCTCTGGCCCCATAAGCACACAGACATGCACATCCCATCTCAACACCCACAGCGCTTCCATCCCCACCCCACTGACGTGGTTCTGTTGGACACTGGAACCAGAGAGCTCGCTCTCAGCACCACCCTTCCTGCAGGCTCATTATCAGCCCCTCCAATCCAGTCCACCCTCTCGCCACCAACCCTTCCCCGTTTTGTTTGTTACAAACCTCATACAATCCCAACCCCAGCTATTTCTCCTTTCTTAGGATTCCTTCTTTTTCCTTACCTTGTCCCTACTTCTGCTCTCTTGCCTCTACCCCCTAAATTACAGAGGAGTCCCCCAGACCAGACTCTCTCAGTTCATCATGAACTCACACTCTGTGATTTATTTCTGTTACTCTTCTATGAAGCTCTGCCCTCTTCTTCAAAAGATCCCCTCACAACACTTGCTACTCACCTCCAGTCCCATTTTTTTTATTAAAAAGTTTATTTTTACATCATTTTTCACTTTTTTTTTTTTCATCTCAATTGTAATCCCCACGGGTTTCCCATCACCAAATCACCCCTGTGCCACCACCATAGTCCCGTGCATTTCCCTCCCTTCCCCCCCCCCCGTTTTTGATCCCATTCCCCACTCCACCCCCACATAATGTCTCTGGTCTATGGTTGTTCATTATTTTTGTTATTTTCTCGCCTGGTCCATTATACTCCTGCTATGAGTGAAACCATCCGGTATTTTTCTTTCTCTTTCTGGCTTATCTCACTAAGCATGATCTTTTCCAGCTCCATCCAAGTTGCTGCAAAAGACATGTGTTTCTCTTTTTTGGTTGCTGAGTAATATTCCATTGTATATATGTACCACATCTTTCTAATCCAGTCATCTACTTTTGGGCATTTGGGCTGCTTCCATGTTTTTCCAATTGTAAATAAAGCAGCAATAAACATGGGGGTACAAGTGTCTTTTTCAATCAGTGTTTTTGTGTCTTTTGGGTAGATACCTAGGAGTGGGATTGCTGGGTCATAGGGAAGCTCCATGTTTAGCAGTTTGAGGAACCTCCAAACAGTTTTCCATAGTGGTTGTACTAGTTTGCATTCCCACCAGCAGAGCAGGAGAGTTCCTTTTTCTCCACATCCTCGGCAACATTTGTTGTTGCTAGTTGTTTGAAGATGTGCCATTCTCACTGGGGTGAGGTGGTATCTCATTGTGGTTTTAATTTGCATCTCCCTTATTACGAGTGATGTTGAACATTTTTTCATATGCCTGTTGGCCATCTGCATTTCCTCTTTGGAGAAGTGTCTTTTTAGCTCTACTGCCCATTTTTTGATGGGCTTGTTTACTTCATTTTTGTTGAGTTTCATCAGTTCTCCGTATCCAGTCCCATTTTTACACAGACAAATCTCATCACTAGCTTTCCAAAATTCAGGCTATCAAATTTTGTTCAAAGTTACCCATCCATTCACTCCTTCAATGTGGCTTAAAGTTCCCTCTATTGTTTGCAGGAACTTAAGATCCACAGCAAAAAGTTTTGGGTCTTTACAGTGTAGCCTTAAACTCCTTTTTAAATTTAACTCTTTTTTTAATATTTTATCTTTCCTTTCAAAGTTATTTTTTTTTTAATCCAGTGATCTCACCACTGTTCCCCAAGTCAGACTCACCCTTCCTGTGTTCCTACCACTGCTTTGGTTATTGCCTCCATGAGAACATCTCTGAGACTCTCTTTTCCCATCTAGGGAATGGGGGTAATGAAAGTCCCTAACTGGTAGGCTATTTTGTGGGTTGAAGCATCAATGCTTAGTGAAACGCTAAGGAGCGTACAGGCAGATGGCAGTGCCATTCATTGATCCCTCTGATTTAACTGGTTAGTAATGACGCTGCCTCTGTTCCCCGTCTGTGCCAGCACACACTACCCTCCCCCAACTCACCTCTTCACTAAAGGTCCCCACCCCCCTCAGAGCTAAAAGCATTGTCTACCATTACATGGCAACTAACCCCTCGCAAGACTAACCCTGTTGTTTCTGACGTCGTTCAGCTCCTTTTCTGCCCTCTTTCAGGCTCTAGTGTTTACATCTATAATGTTCCAGATAAATCTGAGGTTTTCAAAGAACAGAGCAGGGCCTTGTTTTTCCTTTTTTTTACATCCTCCACACTCCTAGTTCATTGTTTAGCTCGGGAGCCTGTATAGAGTTTAAGGACTTGATAAATACTTCTCGGCTTCATATTATAGAAACTTAATTCTGATGAAAGTTTGTAAACCAACAAAAAAAAAGATGTTTTTCCCAAATGTACTGTTATGAATATGTATACATAGATTTAATATGCATGTATGCAAATATACTTATTTTGTGTGTGTATATATAGATTTACACAGTGTGCATTCTATGTCTGTATACATACGCTTTGTCTATTTACAGATCCTTCATGTCTATGTATATGTATACAAATATGTATGGGGTGTGTCTGTGTATGTGTGTTTAGTCTTTTTAACACCACATTGCAAAACTAAAGCACAGTAAAGTAACTTGAATAACCTAAGATATCTACTTTTCCCTTGTCTTATACTGCAGGTTCGGGAATATTACCTTCAAAGCAGTTTAATTAGCACTGACTCTTGACGTCAACTTTAGATGTTTTTTCTACTCCCAGTTAATTCAAACATTTATTAAGCCCTGTACTATCTTAACCAGCCAATACTTAAACTAATAAATCTATTTGTTTGAAAAAATTAAAAACACTAGGAAAGTGACACTGAAAGTGAAATCTCTAGAAAGCAAAGTTAACAGACAACCTTTCTTATATTGCTGAGCTTGGTTCACATGAATAGTCTCCTAAATAAACAATTTACTCAAACCAAAATATAAGATGTAAAGTGCCATACCTTTCAGAATTCAGACTCTGATCAGCATAATCACTTTTCAAAGCATCTAGTTCACTCTGAAGAAAGGCTATATTTGTTTGTGCTTCTAAAAGATCTTTCTTAACTTTCTGATTTTCCTACAGAAAAGGGGTAACATAGGCCATTAGATCTAAGTTCAACATAGGAGAAATGAAGTTACATATAGTGCAACCTTCCAAAACAAACTTTGCCCCTGCAGAAGTCTTCAAAACTTGGTGTTCAAAAGAGTTAATTTTTAACAGAGATCATTTGAAATTATTGTAAATTGAAAATCTAAATCCTCACAGTTGTTTTTGAATGTTAAATATTTGACATTTGTTGCTATCCTATGGGTCAACAGTTTAACATGATACACTTTAACATGCTATGAACAAACTACCTGAGGCTAAATACTTAAACATCTCTGTTTTATTGAATGAGCACTATGTGACTACTGATAAACATTCTCAATAATTGATAGCATCTAGTACCATGGAGGCTGGCTAAATCCTACCACCTGACATATTTAAGTTTTGTATTTAAATATTAACCATTGCAGTTAGGAAATTTCTTAATTTTTACTTAATTTTTTTTCTTAAGAAAAAAAAAGAAGAGAGAAAAATCCTTGGACCCTTCCAGTGCCAAGACAGTAGACAAAGCATGTCAGTCTGTCTCTTTTCTTCCCATTCACATGAAATTCCAAAGGAAATAACCAAATAAAAACTAAAAGAATGGAAGAGGTGCCCACCAGCGGACAAGTATTTTAAACACATTTTCAGAAATGGGAAACTATGTAGAAATGTACTAACTAAAGAAAATAGTAGTCTGACTGAAAATACATTTCTGAAAGTGAAAAGGTAGTTCTTACCATTGATAAGTCATAAATTTTTTTCTTCAATGCAGTCACATCTTCTTTTTGACATATGTGTTTGGATTGTTCTTCTAACTGAAAGATCAAATAAAAGTGTTTTAACAAACTCCAGCTGAATGAATTTGGCTAAGTTCAGAATTATCCTCACATACAGATATTGAATTCCTAGAAGTCTTCAATTTTCAACATCACACGACTGTAAATTAAACTACATGTACTTCAAAAAGATCTGAAAGTCTGATAAACGATTTAAGCATTTGAAAAGGAATTTTATTTGAAACACCTTGTTTAGAAACCATTTGACTATTAAGTAATCCAAGTATCATCTGTTTTCAGTTATGCTGCATTTTAATATGAACCTTTAAATTCTCCTAGAATTGTATCTAAACTTTCTATCCTGTATTATAATTGTTTGTTTATGCCCTACCTCTCCTATTAGAGTCTAGTAGGATTTTTAAGGGTAGAGTTAGTGTTAGATTAACCTATGTTTTGCTCCATAGTAATTTGAAGAGATGCTTATAAGTGACCAAAATCAGTAACATTTAATTATGATATGACACTAAAAACATACAAATGCAAAACTATATAAATGCATACATGAATTTATATGTGTGTGTGTGTGTGTGTGGATATAAATACATGAATTTTGCTTGTTGGTTGACTAATTACTATTTCCAGAACCAAAGGGGCTCTGGAGACTATAACACAGACAACAAAAATGTCTTTTCTACAAATAGTGACATCCCCAGGGGGATTTGTGGATATCTGGTGATTGAATAATTATACATTGATCAAAATGTGCACCTATATTTCACCAAGTCCAAGGCAAAAATCTAAGTACTTTGACACCAGACTTTGTTCATCTTATTAGATGTGATCGACCAAAGGCTTCCACTCCTCCCCCCCCCCCAAGTCATGACTACGATATGTGTCACTGTCACTGAGAAGAGCTATCAATTTTAAGATGTAAACCAATTTCAAGAAGAAAAGCTGTGGGAAAAAATGAGTTTCTCAGAATCTGTGGCATAAGGTGAAAGCAACTTTAATAAATTTGCCAAGTTTGTAGTTCGTTACAGCCTGTAATATATTCTCACACAAGTTATCTCTTATTTGCTTGAAGAAAACCTTTTCAAGTATAAGTGAGAAAGCACAAACTTTGTTGTAAGACTGGACCATTGTTTGTTAGCAGGATGATTTTGAGCAGGTTATTTAATTTCTCTGGCACTCAGCACTTTTCTGTAAAAGCAGGATATTTACACTTTCCTCAGTGAAAAATTGAGAACTCTATTTTTTTAAATATGGGGGGAATTTAATAAACTACAGTCAATAAAATATCAGATATTAAGGTTAAACAGGATAGTCTGTTTTTAATCCATTTTACAGATGAACAGCAAAAGATAAGAAAGAGGAAGTCAATTGTCCTAGCACAATAGTGCCTTTGAGGGCTCAGGTCTCAGCACCCCTCAATGTTTGTGTTCCATGTCTATTTGGTCTTCAGCATTTGCTGTATCGGAGCTAGAATCTTCATCTCTTATTGCATACATTCCCTTAGTCTGAGGATTTGGTATGACGTGGAAATAAGGATGGTGACCAGGAGAATGTGACTGGACAAAAACAAGCTATTGGTTCATTCAAATGCTGTAGAACAGGCAAAGTATGTATGGTCTAATGACCTGTGGAAATCAGATATAAAGTTGGCAATAATTCCCAAGGCTATTAGGGAGAGTTCTTAATCATTCCAGAAGTATAAACTGCAACAGCCTACCAAATATAGTTAATCTTCACTTGTTCTCATTGAGTATAAACACTGGAAGGAGCACTACAGTTATATGAGCCAGCAGAGAGGCAAAGTAATGTGTCTAAGTTCACAATGCCGCCTTCAGAGATGATTATTTTTCAAGTGTTCATATTCATTTTAGCTAAGATATTTTCATTCGTTATGGAGACAATTCACATAACAAGAAGTGTGTCCAGTACTGGGTTGGAGCCAACTTGCAACAGCAAGTGAAAGATTATTTTCAGCATCTATTCCCAAACTCTGCATCAGTGGAGTCAACTTGGTAGCTTAAAATCAGTAATGAGGGTCCTCCCTGGTGGTGCAGTGAGTTAAAGCACAGCACAAAGAAGCTTAAGCCACTTCCGCATGAGTTTGATCCCCGCCTGCCCCGGAGGTGACCACATGGCGCGGCAGACCTCTCCTGACCCGCCCGCTGCTC